CCAACAGGCCAGTTGGTCCAACCGGCCATCGGACCAACAGGCCAGTTGGTCCAACCGGTCCATCGGACCAACAGGCCAGTTGGTCCAAACCGGTCCATGGACCAACAGGCCAGTTGGTCCAACCGTCCATCGGACCAACAGGCCAGTTGGTCCACCGGTCCATCGGACCAACAGGCCAGTTGGTCCACCGGTCCATCGGACCAACAGGCCAGTTGGTCCAACCGGTCCATCGGACCAACAGGCCAGTTGTCCAACCGGTCCATCGGACCAACAGGCCAGTTGGTCCAACCGGTCCGTCGGACCAACAGGCCAGTTGGTCCAACCGGTCCATCGGACCAACAGGCCAGTTGGTCCAACCGGTCCATCGGACCAACAGGCCAGTTGGTCCAACGGTCCATCGGACCAACAGGCCAGTTGGTCCAACCGGTCCATTGACCAACAGGCCAGTTGGTCCAACCGGTCCCATCGGACCAACAGGCCAGTTGGTCCAACCGGTCCATCGGACCAACAGCCAGTTGGTCCAACCGGTCCATCGACCAACAGGCCAGTTGGTCCAACCGGTCCCATCGGACCACAGGCCAGTTGGTCCAACCGGTCCTCGGACCAACAGGCCAGTTGGTCCAACCGGTCCATCGGACCAACAGGCCAGTTGGTCCAACCGGTCCATCGACCAACAGGCCAGTTGGTCCAACCGGTCCATCGGACCAACAGGCCAGTTGGTCCAACCGGTCCATCGGACCAACAGGCCAGTTGGTCCAACCGGTCCATCGGACCAACAGGCCATTGGTCCAACCGGTCCATCGACCAACAGGCCAGTTGGTCCAACCGGTCCATCGGACCAACAGGCCAGTTGGTCCAACCGGTCCATCGGACCAACAGGCCAGTTGGTCCAACCGGTCCATCGGACCAACAGGCCAGTTGGTCCAACCGGTCCATCGGACCAACAGGCCAGTTGGTCCCCGGTCCATCGGACCAACAGGCCAGTTGGTCCAACCGTCCATCGGACCAACAGGCCAGTTGGTCCAACGGTCCATCGGACCAACAGGCCAGTTGGTCCAACCGGTCCATCGACCAACAGGCCAGTTGGTCCAACCGGTCCATCGACCAACAGGCCAGTTGGTCCAACCGGTCCATCGGACCAACAGGCCAGTTGGTCCAACCGGTCCATCGGACCAACAGGCCAGTTGGTCCAACCGGTCCATCGGACCAACAGGCCAGTTGGTCCAACCGGTCCATCGGACCAACAGGCCAGTTGGTCCAACCGAATCGTTTGACCAACAGGCCAGTTGGTCCAACCGTCCATCGGACCAACAGGCCAGTTGGTCCAACCGATCCATCGGACCAACAGGCCAGTTGGTCCAAACGGTCCGTCGGACCAACAGGCCAACATGTAGTTGGTCAACCGGTCCATCGGACCAACATGCCAGTTGTCCCAACCGGTCCATCGGACCAACAGGCCAGTTGGTCCAACCGGTCCATCGGACCAACAGGCCAGTGGTCCAACCGGTCCATCGGACCAACAGGCCAGTTGGTCCAACCGGTCCATCGGACCAACAGGCCAGTTGGTCCAACCGGTCCATCGGACCAACAGGCCAGTTGGTCCAACCGGTCCATCGGACCAACAGGCCAATTGGTCCAACCGGTCCATCGGACCAACAGGCCAGTTGGTCCAACCGGTCCATCGGACCAACAGGCCAGTTGGTCCAACCGGTCCATCGGACCAACAGGCCAGTTGGTCCAACCGGTCCATCGGACCAACAGGCCAGTTGGTCCAACCGGTCCATCGGACCAACAGGCCAGTGGTCCAACCGGTCCCATTGACCAACAGGCCAGTTGGTCCAACCGGTTCAATGATCCAGACGGTCCGTCGGACCAACAGGCCAGTTGGTCCAAACGGTCCATCGGACCAACTGGCCAGTTGGTCCAACCGGTCCGTCGGACCAACAGGCCAGTTGGTCCAACCGGTCCATCGGACCAACAGGCCAGTTGGTCCAACGGTCCATCGGACCAACAGGCCAGTTGGTCCAACCGGTCCATCGGACCAACAGGCCAGTTGGTCCAACCTCCATCGGACCAACAGGCCAGTTGGTCCAACCGGTCCGTCGGACCAACAGGCCAGTTGGTCCAACCGGTCCATCGGACCAACAGGCCAGTTGGTCCAACCGGTCCATCGGACCAACAGGCCAGTTGGTCCAACCGGTCCATCGGACCAACAGGCCAGTTGGTCCAACGGTCCATCGGACCAACAGGCCAGTTGGTCCAACCGGTCCATCGGACCAACAGGCCAGTTGGTCCAACCGGTCCATCGGACCAACAGGCCAGTTGGTCCAACCGGTCCATCGGACCAACAGGCCAGTTGGTCCAACCGGTCCATCGGCCAACAGGCCAGTTGGTCCAACCGGTCCATCGGACCAACAGGCCATTGGTCCAACCGGTCCATCGGACCAACAGGCCAGTTGGTCCAACCGGTCCATCGACCAACAGGCCAGTTGGTCCAACCGGTCCATCGGACCAACAGGCCAGTTGGTCCAACCGGTCCATCGACCAACAGGCCAGTTGGTCCAACCGGTCCATCGGACCAACAGCCATTTGGTCCAACCGGTCCATCGGACCAACAGGCCAGTTGGTCCAACCGTCCATCGGACCAACAGGCCAGTTGGTCCAAACCGTCCATCGGACCAACAGGCCAGTTGGTCCAACCGGTCCATCGGACCAACAGGCCAGTTTGGTCCAACCGGTCCATCGGACCAACAGGCCAGTTGGTCCAACCGTCCATCGGACCAACAGGCCAGTTGGTCCAACCGGTCCATCGGACCAACAGGCCAGTTGGTCCAACCGGTCCATCGGACCAACAGGCCAGTTGGTCCAACCGGTCCATCGGACCAACAGGCCCAGTTGGTCCACCGGTCCATCGGACCAACAGCCAGTTGGTCCAACCGGTCCATGGACCAACAGGCCAGTTGGTCCAACCGGTCCATCGGACCAACAGGCCAGTTGGTCCAACCGGTCCATCGGACCACAGGCCAGTTGGTCCAACCGGTCCATCGACCAACAGGCCAGTTGGTCCAACCGGTCCATCGGACCAACAGGCCAGTTGGTCCAACCGGTCCATCGGACCAACAGGCCAGTTGGTCCAACCGTCCATCGGACCAACAGGCCAGTTGGTCCAACCGGTCCATCGGACCAACAGCCAGTTTGTCCAACCGTCCATCGGACCAACAGGCCAGTTGGTCCAACCGGTCCATCGGACCAACAGGCCAGTTGGTCCAACCGGTCCATCGGACCAACAGGCCAGTTGGTCCAACCGGTCCATCGGACCAACAGGCCAGTTGGTCCACACCGGTCCATCGGACCAACAGGCCAGTTGGTCCAACCGGTCCATCGGACCAACAGGCCAGTTGGTCCAACCGGTCCATCGGACCAACAGGCCAGTTGGTCCAACCGGTCCATCGGACCAACAGGCCAGTTGGTCCAACCGTTCCAATGATCCAAACGGTCCGTCGGACCAACAGGCCATTTGGTCCAACCGGTCCGTCGGACCAACAGGCCAGTTGGTCCAACCGGTCCATCGGACCAACAGGCCAGTTGGTCCAACCGGTCCATCGGACCAACAGGCCAGTTGGTCCAACCGGTCCATCGGACCAACAGGCCAGTTGGTCCAACCGGTCCATCGGACCAACAGGCCAGTTGGTCCAACGGTCCGTCGGACCAACAGGCCAGTTGGTCCAACCGGTCCATCGGACCAACAGGCCAGTTGGTCCAACCGTCCATCGGACCAACAGGCCAGTTGGTCCAACCGGTCCATCGGACCAACAGGCCAGTTGGTCCAAACCGGTCCATCGGACCAACAGGCCAGTTGGTCCAACCGTCCATCGGACCAACAGGCCAGTTGGTCCAACCGGTCCGTCGAACCAACAGGCCAGTTGGTCCAACCGGTCCATCGGACCAACAGGCCAGTTGGTCCACCGGTCCATCGGACCAACAGGCCAGTTGGTCCAACGGTCCATCGGACCAACAGGCCAGTTGGTCCAATCGGTCCATCGGACCAACAGGCCAGTTGGTCCAACCGGTCCATCGGACCAACAGGCCAGTTGGTCCAACCGGTCCATCGGACCAACAGGCCAGTTGGTCCAACCGGTCCATCGGACCAACAGGCCAGTTGGTCCAACCGGTCCATCGGACCAACAGGCCAGTTGGTCCAACCGGTCCATCGGACCAACAGGCCAGTTGGTCCAACCTGTCCATCGGACCAACAGGCCAGTTGGTCCAACCGGTCCATCGGACCAACAGGCCAGTTGGTCCAACCGGTCCATCGGACCAACAGGCCAGTTGGTCCAACCGGTCCATCGGACCAACAGGCCAGTTGGTCCAACCGGTCCATCGGACCAACAGGCCAGTTGGTCCAACCGGTCCATCGGACCAACAGGCCAGTTGGTCCAACCGGTCCATCGGACCAACAGGCCAGTTGGTCCAACCGGTCCATCGGACCAACAGGCCAGTTGGTCCAACCGGTCCATCGGACCAACAGGCCAGTTTGTCCAACCGGTCCATCGGACCAACAGGCCAGTTGGTCCAACGGTCCATCGGACCAACAGGCCAGTTGGTCCAACCGGTCCATCGGACCAACAGGCCAGTTGGTCCAACCGGTCCATCGGACCAACAGGCCAGTTGGTCCAACCGGTCCATCGGACCAACAGGCCAGTTTGTCCAACCGGTCCATCGGACCAAAGGCCAGTTGGTCCAACCGGTCCATGGACCAACAGGCCAGTTGGTCCAACCGGTCCATCGGACCAACAGGCCAGTTGGTCCAACCTCCATCGGACCAACAGGCCAGTTGGTCCAACCGGTCCATCGGACCAACAGGCCAGTTGGTCCAACCGGTCCATCGGACCAACAGGCCTTTGGTCCAACGGTCCATCGGACCAACAGGCCAGTTGGTCCACCGGTCCATCGGACCAACAGGCCAGTTGTCCAACCGGTCCATCGGACCAACAGGCCAGTTGGTCCAACCGGTCCATCGGACCAACAGGCCAGTTGGTCCAACCGGTCCATCGGACCAACAGGCCAGTTGGTCCAACCGGTCCATCGGACCAACAGGCCAGTTGGTCCACCGGTCCATCGGACCAACAGGCCAGTTGGTCCAACCGGTCCATCGGACCAACAGGCCAGTTGGTCCAACCGGTCCATCGGACCAACAGGCCAGTTGGTCCAACCGGTCCATCGACCAACAGGCCAGTTGGTCCAACCGGTCATCGATCCAACACTTTCCGTCGGACCAACAGGCCAGTTGGTCCAACCGGTCCATCGGACCAACAGGCCAGTTGGTCCAACCGGTCCATCGGACCAACAGGCCAGTTGGTCCAACCGGTCCATCGGACCAACAGGCCAGTTGGTCCAACCGGTCCGTCGGACCAACAGGCCAGTTGGTCCAACCGGTCCGTCGGACCAACAGGCCAGTTGGTCCAACCGGTCCATCGGACCAACAGGCCAGTTGGTCCAACCGATCCATCGGACCAACAGGCCAGTTGGTCCAACCAGTCCATCGGACCAACAGGCCAGTTGGTCCAACCGGTCCATCGGACCAACAGGCCAGTTGGTCCAACCGGTCCATCGGACCAACAGGCCAGTTGGTCCAACCGGTCCATCGGACCAACAGGCCAGTTGGTCCAACCGGTCCATCGGACCAACAGGCCAGGCCAATCGGGTCATCGGACCAAGGCCAGTTGGTCCAACCGGTCCATCGGACCAACAGGCCAGTTGGTCCAACCGGTCCATCGGACCAACAGGCCAGTTGGTCCAACCGGTCCATCGGACCAACAGGCCAGTTGGTCCAACCGGTCCATCGGACCAACAGGCCAGTTGGTCCAACCGGTCCATCGACCAACAGGCCAGTTGGTCCAACCGATCCATCGGACCAACAGGCCAGTTGGTCCAACCGGTCCATCGGACCAACAGGCCAGTTGGTCCAAACGGTCCGTCGGACCAACAGGCCAGTTGGTCCAACCGTCCGTCGGACCAACAGGCCAGTTGGTCCAACCGGTCCATCGGACCAACAGGCCAGTTGGTCCAACCGGTCCATCGGACCAACAGGCCAGTTGGTCCAAACGGTCCGTCGGACCAACAGGCCAGTTGGTCCAACCGGTCCGTCGGACCAACAGGCCAGTTGGTCCAACCGGTCCGTCGGACCAACAGGCCAGTTGGTCCAACCGGTCCATCGGACCAACAGGCCAGTTGGTCCAACCGGTCCATCGGACCAACAGGCCAGTTGGTCCAATCGGTCCATCGGACCAACAGGCCAGTTGGTCCAACGGTCCATCGGACCAACAGGCCAGTTGGTCCAACCGGTCCATCGGACCAACAGGCCAGTTGGTCCAACCGGTCCATCGGACCAACAGGCCAGTTGGTCCAACCGGTCCGTCGGACCAACAGGCCAGTTGGTCCAACCGGTCCATCGGACCAACAGGCCAGTTGGTCCACCGGTCCATCGGACCAACAGGCCAGTTGGTCCAACCGGTCCATCGGACCAACAGGCCAGTTGGTCCAACCGGTCCATCGGACCAACAGGCCAGTTGGTCCAACCGGTCCATCGGACCAACAGGCCAGTTGGTCCAACCGGTCCATCGGACCAACAGGCCAGTTGGTCCAACCGGTCCATCGGACCAACAGGCCAGTTGGTCCAACCGGTCCATCGGACCAACAGGCCAGTTTGTCCAACCGGTCCATCGGACCAACAGGCCAGTTGGTCCAACCGGTCCATCGGACCAACAGGCCAGTTGGTCCAACCGGTCCATCGGACCAACAGGCCAGTTGGTCCAACCGGTCCATCGGACCAACAGGCCAGTTGGTCCAACCGGTCCATCGGACCAACAGGCCAGTTGGTCCAACCGGTCCGTCGGACCAACAGGCCAGTTGGTCCAACCGGTCCATCGGACCAACAGCCAGTTGGTCCAACCGGTCCATCGGACCAACAGGCCAGTTGGTCCAACCGGTCCGTCGGACCAACAGGCCAGTTGGTCCAACCGGTCCATCGGACCAACAGGCCAGTTGGTCCAACCGGTCCATCGGACCAACAGGCCAGTTGGTCCAACCGGTCCATCGGACCAACAGGCCAGTTGGTCCAACCGGTCCATCGGACCAACAGGCCAGTTGGTCCAACCGGTCCATCGGACCAACAGGCCAGTTGGTCCAACCGGTCCATCGGACCAACAGGCCAGTTGGTCCAACCGGTCCATCGGACCAACAGGCCAGTTGGTCCAACCGTCCATCGGACCAACAGGCCAGTTGGTCAAACCGGTCCATCGGACCAACAGGCCAGTTGGTCCAACCGGTCCATCGGACCAACAGGCCAGTTGGTCCAACCGGTCCATCGGACCAACAGGCCAGTTGGTCCAACCGGTCCATCGGACCAACAGGCCAGTTGGTCCAACCGGTCCATCGGACCAACAGGCCAGTTGGTCCAACCGGTCCATCGGACCAACAGGCCAGTTGGTCCAACCGGTCCATCGGACCAACAGGCCAGTTGGTCCAACCGGTCCATCGGACCAACAGGCCAGTTGGTCCAACCGGTCCATCGGACCAACAGGCCAGTTGGTCCAACCGGTCCGTCGGACCAACAGGCCAGTTGGTCCAACCGGTCCATCGACCAACAGGCCAGTTGGTCCAACCGGTCCATCGGACCAACAGGCCAGTTGGTCCAACCGGTCCATCGACCAACAGGCCAGTTGGTCCAACCGGTCCATCGGACCAACAGGCCAGTTGGTCCAACCGGTCCATCGGACCAACAGGCCAGTTGGTCCAACCGGTCCATCGACCAACAGGCCAGTTGGTCCAACCGGTCCATCGGACCAACAGGCCAGTTGGTCCAACCGGTCCATCGGACCAACAGGCCAGTTGGTCCAACCGGTCCATCGGACCAACAGGCCAGTTGGTCCAACCGGTCCATCGGACCAACAGGCCAGTTGGTCCAACCGGTCCATCGGACCAACAGGCCAGTTGGTCCAACCGGTCCATCGGACCAACAGGCCAGTTGGTCCAACCGGTCCATCGGACCAACAGGCCAGTTGGTCCAACCGGTCCATCGGACCAACAGGCCAGTTGGTCCAACCGGTCCATCGGACCAACAGGCCAGTTGGTCCAACCGGTCCATCGGACCAACAGGCCAGTTGGTCCAACCGGTCCATCGGACCAACAGGCCAGTTGGTCCAACCGGTCCATCGGACCAACAGCCAGTTGGTCCAACCGGTCCATCGGACCAACAGGCCAGTTGGTCCAACCGGTCCATCGGACCAACAGGCCAGTTGGTCCAACCGGTCCATCGGACCAACAGGCCAGTTGGTCCAACCGGTCCATCGGACCAACAGGCCAGTTGGTCCAACCGGTCCATCGGACCAACAGGCCAGTTGGTCCAACCGGTCCATCGGACCAACAGGCCAGTTGGTCCAACCGGTCCATCGGACCAACAGGCCAGTTGGTCCAACCGGTCCATCGGACCAACAGGCCAGTTGGTCCAACCGGTCCATCGACCAACAGGCCAGTTGGTCCAACCGGTCCATCGGACCAACAGGCCAGTTGGTCCAACCGGTCCATCGGACCAACAGGCCAGTTGGTCCAACCGGTCCATCGGACCAACAGGCCAGTTGGTCCAACCGGTCCATCGGACCAACAGGCCAGTTGGTCCAACCGGTCCATCGGACCAACAGGCCAGTTGGTCCAACCGGTCCATCGGACCAACAGGCCAGTTGGTCCAACCGGTCCATCGGACCAACAGGCCAGTTGGTCCAACCGGTCCATCGGACCAACAGGCCAGTTGGTCCAACCGGTCCATCGAACCAACAGGCCAGTTGGTCCAACCGGTCCATCGACCAACAGGCCAGTTGGTCCACCGGTCCATCGGACCAACAGGCCAGTTGGTCCAACCGGTCCATCGGACCAACAGGCCAGTTGGTCCAACCGGTCCATCGGACCAACAGGCCAGTTGGTCCAACCGGTCCATCGGACCAACAGGCCAGTTGGTCCAACCGGTCCATCGGACCAACAGGCCAGTTGGTCCAACCGGTCCATCGGACCAACAGGCCAGTTGGTCCAACCGGTCCATCGGACCAACAGGCCAGTTGGTCCAACCGGTCCATCGGACCAACAGGCCAGTTGGTCCAACCGGTCCATCGGACCAACAGGCCAGTTGGTCCAACCGGTCCATCGGACCAACAGGCCAGTTGGTCCAACCGGTCCATCGGACCAACAGGCCAGTTGGTCCAACCGGTCCATCGGACCAACAGGCCAGTTGGTCCAACCGGTCCATCGGACCAACAGGCCAGTTGGTCCAACCGGTCCATCGGACCAACAGGCCAGTTGGTCCAACCGGTCCATCGGACCAACAGGCCAGTTGGTCCAACCGGTCCATCGGACCAACAGGCCAGTTGGTCCAACCGGTCCATCGGACCAACAGGCCAGTTGGTCCAACCGGTCCATCGGACCAACAGGCCAGTTGGTCCAACCGGTCCATCGGACCAACAGGCCAGTTGGTCCAACCGGTCCATCGGACCAACAGGCCAGTTGGTCCAACCGGTCCATCGGACCAACAGGCCAGTTGGTCCAACCGTCCATCGGACCAACAGGCCAGTTGGTCCAACCGGTCCATCGGACCAACAGGCCAGTTGGTCCAACGGTCCATCGGACCAACAGGCCAGTTGGTCCAACCGGTCCATCGGACCAACAGGCCAGTTGGTCCAACCGGTCCATCGGACCAACAGGCCAGTTGGTCCAACCGGTCCATCGGACCAACAGGCCAGTTGGTCCAACCGGTCCATCGGACCAACAGGCCAGTTGGTCCAACCGGTCCATCGGACCAACAGGCCAGTTGGTCCAACCGGTCCATCGGACCAACAGGCCAGTTGGTCCAACCGGTCCATCGGACCAACAGGCCAGTTGGTCCAACCGGTCCATCGGACCAACAGGCCAGTTGGTCCAACCGGTCCATCGGACCAACAGGCCAGTTGGTCCAACCGGTCCATCGGACCAACAGGCCAGTTGGTCCAACCGGTCCATCGGACCAACAGGCCAGTTGGTCCAACCGGTCCATCGGACCAACAGGCCAGTTGGTCCAACCGGTCCATCGGACCAACAGGCCAGTTGGTCCAACCGGTCCATCGGACCAACAGGCCAGTTGGTCCAACCGGTCCATCGGACCAACAGGCCAGTTGGTCCAACCGGTCCATCGGACCAACAGGCCAGTTGGTCCAACCGGTCCATCGGACCAACAGGCCAGTTGGTCCAACCGGTCCATCGGACCAACAGGCCAGTTGGTCCAACCGGTCCATCGGACCAACAGGCCAGTTGGTCCAACCGGTCCATCGGACCAACAGGCCAGTTGGTCCAACCGGTCCATCGGACCAACAGGCCAGTTGGTCCAACCGGTCCATCGGACCAACAGGCCAGTTGGTCCAAACGGTCCATCGGACCAACAGGCCAGTTGGTCCAACCGGTCCATCGGACCAACAGGCCAGTTGGTCCAACCGGTCCATCGGACCAACAGGCCAGTTGGTCCAACCGGTCCATCGGACCAACAGGCCAGTTGGTCCAACCGGTCCATCGGACCAACAGGCCAGTTGGTCCAACCGGTCCATCGGACCAACAGGCCAGTTGGTCCAACCGGTCCATCGGACCAACAGGCCAGTTGGTCCAACCGGTCCATCGGACCAACAGGCCAGTTGGTCCAACCGGTCCATCGGACCAACAGGCCAGTTGGTCCAACCGGTCCATCGGACCAACAGGCCAGTTGGTCCAACCGGTCCATCGGACCAACAGGCCAGTTGGTCCAACCGGTCCATCGGACCAACAGGCCAGTTGGTCCAACCGGTCCATCGGACCAACAGGCCAGTTGGTCCAACCGGTCCATCGGACCAACAGGCCAGTTGGTCCAACCGGTCCATCGGACCAACAGGCCAGTTGGTCCAACCGGTCCATCGGACCAACAGGCCAGTTGGTCCAACCGGTCCATCGGACCAACAGGCCAGTTGGTCCAACCGGTCCATCGGACCAACAGGCCAGTTGGTCCAACCGGTCCATCGGACCAACAGGCCAGTTGGTCCAACCGGTCCATCGGACCAACAGGCCAGTTGGTCCAACCGGTCCATCGGACCAACAGGCCAGTTGGTCCAACCGGTCCATCGGACCAACAGGCCAGTTGGTCCAACCGGTCCATCGGACCAACAGGCCAGTTGGTCCAACCGGTCCATCGGACCAACAGGCCAGTTGGTCCAACCGGTCCATCGGACCAACAGGCCAGTTGGTCCAACCGGTCCATCGGACCAACAGGCCAGTTGGTCCAACCGGTCCATCGGACCAACAGGCCAGTTGGTCCAACCGGTCCATCGGACCAACAGGCCAGTTGGTCCAACCGGTCCATCGGACCAACAGGCCAGTTGGTCCAACCGGTCCATCGGACCAACAGGCCAGTTGGTCCAACCGGTCCATCGGACCAACAGGCCAGTTGGTCCAACCGGTCCATCGGACCAACAGGCCAGTTGGTCCAACCGGTCCATCGGACCAACAGGCCAGTTGGTCCAACCGGTCCATCGGACCAACAGGCCAGTTGGTCCAACCGGTCCATCGGACCAACAGGCCAGTTGGTCCAACCGGTCCATCGGACCAACAGGCCAGTTGGTCCAACCGGTCCATCGGACCAACAGGCCAGTTGGTCCAACCGGTCCATCGGACCAACAGGCCAGTTGGTCCAACCGGTCCATCGGACCAACAGGCCAGTTGGTCCAACCGGTCCATCGGACCAACAGGCCAGTTGGTCCAACCGGTCCATCGGACCAACAGGCCAGTTGGTCCAACCGGTCCATCGGACCAACAGGCCAGTTGGTCCAACCGGTCCATCGGACCAACAGGCCAGTTGGTCCAACCGGTCCATCGGACCAACAGGCCAGTTGGTCCAACCGGTCCATCGGACCAACAGGCCAGTTGGTCCAACCGGTCCATCGGACCAACAGGCCAGTTGGTCCAACCGGTCCATCGGACCAACAGGCCAGTTGGTCCAACCGGTCCATCGGACCAACAGGCCAGTTGGTCCAACCGGTCCATCGGACCAACAGGCCAGTTGGTCCAACCGGTCCATCGGACCAACAGGCCAGTTGGTCCAACCGGTCCATCGGACCAACAGGCCAGTTGGTCCAACCGGTCCATCGGACCAACAGGCCAGTTGGTCCAACCGGTCCATCGGACCAACAGGCCAGTTGGTCCAACCGGTCCATCGGACCAACAGGCCAGTTGGTCCAACCGGTCCATCGGACCAACAGGCCAGTTGGTCCAACCGGTCCATCGGACCAACAGGCCAGTTGGTCCAACCGGTCCATCGGACCAACAGGCCAGTTGGTCCAACCGGTCCATCGGACCAACAGGCCAGTTGGTCCAACCGGTCCATCGGACCAACAGGCCAGTTGGTCCAACCGGTCCATCGGACCAACAGGCCAGTTGGTCCAACCGGTCCATCGGACCAACAGGCCAGTTGGTCCAACCGGTCCATCGGACCAACAGGCCAGTTGGTCCAACCGGTCCATCGGACCAACAGGCCAGTTGGTCCAACCGGTCCATCGGACCAACAGGCCAGTTGGTCCAACCGGTCCATCGGACCAACAGGCCAGTTGGTCCAACCGGTCCATCGGACCAACAGGCCAGTTGGTCCAACCGGTCCATCGGACCAACAGGCCAGTTGGTCCAACCGGTCCATCGGACCAACAGGCCAGTTGGTCCAACCGGTCCATCGGACCAACAGGCCAGTTGGTCCAACCGGTCCATCGGACCAACAGGCCAGTTGGTCCAACCGGTCCATCGGACCAACAGGCCAGTTGGTCCAACCGGTCCATCGGACCAACAGGCCAGTTGGTCCAACCGGTCCATCGGACCAACAGGCCAGTTGGTCCAACCGGTCCATCGGACCAACAGGCCAGTTGGTCCAACCGGTCCATCGGACCAACAGGCCAGTTGGTCCAACCGGTCCATCGGACCAACAGGCCAGTTGGTCCAACCGGTCCATCGGACCAACAGGCCAGTTGGTCCAACCGGTCCATCGGACCAACAGGCCAGTTGGTCCAACCGGTCCATCGGACCAACAGGCCAGTTGGTCCAACCGGTCCATCGGACCAACAGGCCAGTTGGTCCAACCGGTCCATCGGACCAACAGGCCAGTTGGTCCAACCGGTCCATCGGACCAACAGGCCAGTTGGTCCAACCGGTCCATCGGACCAACAGGCCAGTTGGTCCAACCGGTCCATCGGACCAACAGGCCAGTTGGTCCAACCGGTCCATCGGACCAACAGGCCAGTTGGTCCAACCGGTCCATCGGACCAACAGGCCAGTTGGTCCAACCGGTCCATCGGACCAACAGGCCAGTTGGTCCAACCGGTCCATCGGACCAACAGGCCAGTTGGTCCAACCGGTCCATCGGACCAACAGGCCAGTTGGTCCAACCGGTCCATCGGACCAACAGGCCAGTTGGTCCAACCGTCCATCGGACCAACAGGCCAGTTGGTCCAACCGGTCCATCGGACCAACAGGCCAGTTGGTCCAACCGGTCCATCGGACCAACAGGCCAGTTGGTCCAACCGGTCCATCGGACCAACAGGCCAGTTGGTCCAACCGGTCCATCGGACCAACAGGCCAGTTGGTCCAACCGGTCCATCGGACCAACAGGCCAGTTGGTCCAACCGGTCCATCGGACCAACAGGCCAGTTGGTCCAACCGGTCCATCGGACCAACAGGCCAGTTGGTCCAACCGGTCCATCGGACCAACAGGCCAGTTGGTCCAACCGGTCCATCGGACCAACAGGCCAGTTGGTCCAACCGGTCCATCGGACCAACAGGCCAGTTGGTCCAACCGGTCCATCGGACCAACAGGCCAGTTGGTCCAACCGGTCCATCGGACCAACAGGCCAGTTGGTCCAACCGGTCCATCGGACCAACAGGCCAGTTGGTCCAACCGGTCCATCGGACCAACAGGCCAGTTGGTCCAACCGGTCCATCGGACCAACAGGCCAGTTGGTCCAACCGGTCCATCGGACCAACAGGCCAGTTGGTCCAACCGGTCCATCGGACCAACAGGCCAGTTGGTCCAACCGGTCCATCGGACCAACAGGCCAGTTGGTCCAACCGGTCCATCGGACCAACAGGCCAGTTGGTCCAACCGGTCCATCGGACCAACAGGCCAGTTGGTCCAACCGGTCCATCGGACCAACAGGCCAGTTGGTCCAACCGGTCCATCGGACCAACAGGCCAGTTGGTCCAACCGGTCCATCGGACCAACAGGCCAGTTGGTCCAACCGGTCCATCGGACCAACAGGCCAGTTGGTCCAACCGGTCCATCGGACCAACAGGCCAGTTGGTCCAACCGGTCCATCGGACCAACAGGCCAGTTGGTCCAACCGGTCCATCGGACCAACAGGCCAGTTGGTCCAACCGGTCCATCGGACCAACAGGCCAGTTGGTCCAACCGGTCCATCGGACCAACAGGCCAGTTGGTCCAACCGGTCCATCGGACCAACAGGCCAGTTGGTCCAACCGGTCCATCGGACCAACAGGCCAGTTGGTCCAACCGGTCCATCGGACCAACAGGCCAGTTGGTCCAACCGGTCCATCGGACCAACAGGCCAGTTGGTCCAACCGGTCCATCGGACCAACAGGCCAGTTGGTCCAACCGGTCCATCGGACCAACAGGCCAGTTGGTCCAACCGGTCCATCGGACCAACAGGCCAGTTGGTCCAACCGGTCCATCGGACCAACAGGCCAGTTGGTCCAACCGGTCCATCGGACCAACAGGCCAGTTGGTCCAACCGGTCCATCGGACCAACAGGCCAGTTGGTCCAACCGGTCCATCGGACCAACAGGCCAGTTGGTCCAACCGGTCCATCGGACCAACAGGCCAGTTGGTCCAACCGGTCCATCGGACCAACAGGCCAGTTGGTCCAACCGGTCCATCGGACCAACAGGCCAGTTGGTCCAACCGGTCCATCGGACCAACAGGCCAGTTGGTCCAACCGGTCCATCGGACCAACAGGCCAGTTGGTCCAACCGGTCCATCGGACCAACAGGCCAGTTGGTCCAACCGGTCCATCGGACCAACAGGCCAGTTGGTCCAACCGGTCCATCGGACCAACAGGCCAGTTGGTCCAACCGGTCCATCGGACCAACAGGCCAGTTGGTCCAACCGGTCCATCGGACCAACAGGCCAGTTGGTCCAACCGGTCCATCGGACCAACAGGCCAGTTGGTCCAACCGGTCCATCGGACCAACAGGCCAGTTGGTCCAACCGGTCCATCGGACCAACAGGCCAGTTGGTCCAACCGGTCCATCGGACCAACAGGCCAGTTGGTCCAACCGGTCCATCGGACCAACAGGCCAGTTGGTCCAACCGGTCCATCGGACCAACAGGCCAGTTGGTCCAACCGGTCCATCGGACCAACAGGCCAGTTGGTCCAACCGGTCCATCGGACCAACAGGCCAGTTGGTCCAACCGGTCCATCGGACCAACAGGCCAGTTGGTCCAACCGGTCCATCGGACCAACAGGCCAGTTGGTCCAACCGGTCCATCGGACCAACAGGCCAGTTGGTCCAACCGGTCCATCGGACCAACAGGCCAGTTGGTCCAACCGGTCCATCGGACCAACAGGCCAGTTGGTCCAACCGGTCCATCGGACCAACAGGCCAGTTGGTCCAACCGGTCCATCGGACCAACAGGCCAGTTGGTCCAACCGGTCCATCGGACCAACAGGCCAGTTGGTCCAACCGGTCCATCGGACCAACAGGCCAGTTGGTCCAACCGGTCCATCGGACCAACAGGCCAGTTGGTCCAACCGGTCCATCGGACCAACAGGCCAGTTGGTCCAACCGGTCCATCGGACCAACAGGCCAGTTGGTCCAACCGGTCCATCGGACCAACAGGCCAGTTGGTCCAACCGGTCCATCGGACCAACAGGCCAGTTGGTCCAACCGGTCCATCGGACCAACAGGCCAGTTGGTCCAACCGGTCCATCGGACCAACAGGCCAGTTGGTCCAACCGGTCCATCGGACCAACAGGCCAGTTGGTCCAACCGGTCCATCGGACCAACAGGCCAGTTGGTCCAACCGGTCCATCGGACCAACAGGCCAGTTGGTCCAACCGGTCCATCGGACCAACAGGCCAGTTGGTCCAACCGGTCCATCGGACCAACAGGCCAGTTGGTCCAACCGGTCCATCGGACCAACAGGCCAGTTGGTCCAACCGGTCCATCGGACCAACAGGCCAGTTGGTCCAACCGGTCCATCGGACCAACAGGCCAGTTGGTCCAACCGGTCCATCGGACCAACAGGCCAGTTGGTCCAACCGGTCCATCGGACCAACAGGCCAGTTGGTCCAACCGGTCCATCGGACCAACAGGCCAGTTGGTCCAACCGGTCCATCGGACCAACAGGCCAGTTGGTCCAACCGGTCCATCGGACCAACAGGCCAGTTGGTCCAACCGGTCCATCGGACCAACAGGCCAGTTGGTCCAACCGGTCCATCGGACCAACAGGCCAGTTGGTCCAACCGGTCCATCGGACCAACAGGCCAGTTGGTCCAACCGGTCCATCGGACCAACAGGCCAGTTGGTCCAACCGGTCCATCGGACCAACAGGCCAGTTGGTCCAACCGGTCCATCGGACCAACAGGCCAGTTGGTCCAACCGGTCCATCGGACCAACAGGCCAGTTGGTCCAACCGGTCCATCGGACCAACAGGCCAGTTGGTCCAACCGGTCCATCGGACCAACAGGCCAGTTGGTCCAACCGGTCCATCGGACCAACAGGCCAGTTGGTCCAACCGGTCCATCGGACCAACAGGCCAGTTGGTCCAACCGGTCCATCGGACCAACAGGCCAGTTGGTCCAACCGGTCCATCGGACCAACAGGCCAGTTGGTCCAACCGGTCCATCGGACCAACAGGCCAGTTGGTCCAACCGGTCCATCGGACCAACAGGCCAGTTGGTCCAACCGGTCCATCGGACCAACAGGCCAGTTGGTCCAACCGGTCCATCGGACCAACAGGCCAGTTGGTCCAACCGGTCCATCGGACCAACAGGCCAGTTGGTCCAACCGGTCCATCGGACCAACAGGCCAGTTGGTCCAACCGGTCCATCGGACCAACAGGCCAGTTGGTCCAACCGGTCCATCGGACCAACAGGCCAGTTGGTCCAACCGGTCCATCGGACCAACAGGCCAGTTGGTCCAACCGGTCCATCGGACCAACAGGCCAGTTGGTCCAACCGGTCCATCGGACCAACAGGCCAGTTGGTCCAACCGGTCCATCGGACCAACAGGCCAGTTGGTCCAACCGGTCCATCGGACCAACAGGCCAGTTGGTCCAACCGGTCCATCGGACCAACAGGCCAGTTGGTCCAACCGGTCCATCGGACCAACAGGCCAGTTGGTCCAACCGGTCCATCGGACCAACAGGCCAGTTGGTCCAACCGGTCCATCGGACCAACAGGCCAGTTGGTCCAACCGGTCCATCGGACCAACAGGCCAGTTGGTCCAACCGGTCCATCGGACCAACAGGCCAGTTGGTCCAACCGGTCCATCGGACCAACAGGCCAGTTGGTCCAACCGGTCCATCGGACCAACAGGCCAGTTGGTCCAACCGGTCCATCGGACCAACAGGCCAGTTGGTCCAACCGGTCCATCGGACCAACAGGCCAGTTGGTCCAACCGGTCCATCGGACCAACAGGCCAGTTGGTCCAACCGGTCCATCGGACCAACAGGCCAGTTGGTCCAACCGGTCCATCGGACCAACAGGCCAGTTGGTCCAACCGGTCCATCGGACCAACAGGCCAGTTGGTCCAACCGGTCCATCGGACCAACAGGCCAGTTGGTCCAACCGGTCCATCGGACCAACAGGCCAGTTGGTCCAACCGGTCCATCGGACCAACAGGCCAGTTGGTCCAACCGGTCCATCGGACCAACAGGCCAGTTGGTCCAACCGGTCCATCGGACCAACAGGCCAGTTGGTCCAACCGGTCCATCGGACCAACAGGCCAGTTGGTCCAACCGGTCCATCGGACCAACAGGCCAGTTGGTCCAACCGGTCCATCGGACCAACAGGCCAGTTGGTCCAACCGGTCCATCGGACCAACAGGCCAGTTGGTCCAACCGGTCCATCGGACCAACAGGCCAGTTGGTCCAACCGGTCCATCGGACCAACAGGCCAGTTGGTCCAACCGGTCCATCGGACCAACAGGCCAGTTGGTCCAACCGGTCCATCGGACCAACAGGCCAGTTGGTCCAACCGGTCCATCGGACCAACAGGCCAGTTGGTCCAACCGGTCCATCGGACCAACAGGCCAGTTGGTCCAACCGGTCCATCGGACCAACAGGCCAGTTGGTCCAACCGGTCCATCGGACCAACAGGCCAGTTGGTCCAACCGGTCCATCGGACCAACAGGCCAGTTGGTCCAACCGGTCCATCGGACCAACAGGCCAGTTGGTCCAACCGGTCCATCGGACCAACAGGCCAGTTGGTCCAACCGGTCCATCGGACCAACAGGCCAGTTGGTCCAACCGGTCCATCGGACCAACAGGCCAGTTGGTCCAACCGGTCCATCGGACCAACAGGCCAGTTGGTCCAACCGGTCCATCGGACCAACAGGCCAGTTGGTCCAACCGGTCCATCGGACCAACAGGCCAGTTGGTCCAACCGGTCCATCGGACCAACAGGCCAGTTGGTCCAACCGGTCCATCGGACCAACAGGCCAGTTGGTCCAACCGGTCCATCGGACCAACAGGCCAGTTGGTCCAACCGGTCCATCGGACCAACAGGCCAGTTGGTCCAACCGGTCCATCGGACCAACAGGCCAGTTGGTCCAACCGGTCCATCGGACCAACAGGCCAGTTGGTCCAACCGGTCCATCGGACCAACAGGCCAGTTGGTCCAACCGGTCCATCGGACCAACAGGCCAGTTGGTCCAACCGGTCCATCGGACCAACAGGCCAGTTGGTCCAACCGGTCCATCGGACCAACAGGCCAGTTGGTCCAACCGGTCCATCGGACCAACAGGCCAGTTGGTCCAACCGGTCCATCGGACCAACAGGCCAGTTGGTCCAACCGGTCCATCGGACCAACAGGCCAGTTGGTCCAACCGGTCCATCGGACCAACAGGCCAGTTGGTCCAACCGGTCCATCGGACCAACAGGCCAGTTGGTCCAACCGGTCCATCGGACCAACAGGCCAGTTGGTCCAACCGGTCCATCGGACCAACAGGCCAGTTGGTCCAACCGGTCCATCGGACCAACAGGCCAGTTGGTCCAACCGGTCCATCGGACCAACAGGCCAGTTGGTCCAACCGGTCCATCGGACCAACAGGCCAGTTGGTCCAACCGGTCCATCGGACCAACAGGCCAGTTGGTCCAACCGGTCCATCGGACCAACAGGCCAGTTGGTCCAACCGGTCCATCGGACCAACAGGCCAGTTGGTCCAACCGGTCCATCGGACCAACAGGCCAGTTGGTCCAACCGGTCCATCGGACCAACAGGCCAGTTGGTCCAACCGGTCCATCGGACCAACAGGCCAGTTGGTCCAACCGGTCCATCGGACCAACAGGCCAGTTGGTCCAACCGGTCCATCGGACCAACAGGCCAGTTGGTCCAACCGGTCCATCGGACCAACAGGCCAGTTGGTCCAACCGGTCCATCGGACCAACAGGCCAGTTGGTCCAACCGGTCCATCGGACCAACAGGCCAGTTGGTCCAACCGGTCCATCGGACCAACAGGCCAGTTGGTCCAACCGGTCCATCGGACCAACAGGCCAGTTGGTCCAACCGGTCCATCGGACCAACAGGCCAGTTGGTCCAACCGGTCCATCGGACCAACAGGCCAGTTGGTCCAACCGGTCCATCGGACCAACAGGCCAGTTGGTCCAACCGGTCCATCGGACCAACAGGCCAGTTGGTCCAACCGGTCCATCGGACCAACAGGCCAGTTGGTCCAACCGGTCCATCGGACCAACAGGCCAGTTGGTCCAACCGGTCCATCGGACCAACAGGCCAGTTGGTCCAACCGGTCCATCGGACCAACAGGCCAGTTGGTCCAACCGGTCCATCGGACCAACAGGCCAGTTGGTCCAACCGGTCCATCGGACCAACAGGCCAGTTGGTCCAACCGGTCCATCGGACCAACAGGCCAGTTGGTCCAACCGGTCCATCGGACCAACAGGCCAGTTGGTCCAACCGGTCCATCGGACCAACAGGCCAGTTGGTCCAACCGGTCCATCGGACCAACAGGCCAGTTGGTCCAACCGGTCCATCGGACCAACAGGCCAGTTGGTCCAACCGGTCCATCGGACCAACAGGCCAGTTGGTCCAACCGGTCCATCGGACCAACAGGCCAGTTGGTCCAACCGGTCCATCGGACCAACAGGCCAGTTGGTCCAACCGGTCCATCGGACCAACAGGCCAGTTGGTCCAACCGGTCCATCGGACCAACAGGCCAGTTGGTCCAACCGGTCCATCGGACCAACAGGCCAGTTGGTCCAACCGGTCCATCGGACCAACAGGCCAGTTGGTCCAACCGGTCCATCGGACCAACAGGCCAGTTGGTCCAACCGGTCCATCGGACCAACAGGCCAGTTGGTCCAACCGGTCCATCGGACCAACAGGCCAGTTGGTCCAACCGGTCCATCGGACCAACAGGCCAGTTGGTCCAACCGGTCCATCGGACCAACAGGCCAGTTGGTCCAACCGGTCCATCGGACCAACAGGCCAGTTGGTCCAACCGGTCCATCGGACCAACAGGCCAGTTGGTCCAACCGGTCCATCGGACCAACAGGCCAGTTGGTCCAACCGGTCCATCGGACCAACAGGCCAGTTGGTCCAACCGGTCCATCGGACCAACAGGCCAGTTGGTCCAACCGGTCCATCGGACCAACAGGCCAGTTGGTCCAACCGGTCCATCGGACCAACAGGCCAGTTGGTCCAACCGGTCCATCGGACCAACAGGCCAGTTGGTCCAACCGGTCCATCGGACCAACAGGCCAGTTGGTCCAACCGGTCCATCGGACCAACAGGCCAGTTGGTCCAACCGGTCCATCGGACCAACAGGCCAGTTGGTCCAACCGGTCCATCGGACCAACAGGCCAGTTGGTCCAACCGGTCCATCGGACCAACAGGCCAGTTGGTCCAACCGGTCCATCGGACCAACAGGCCAGTTGGTCCAACCGGTCCATCGGACCAACAGGCCAGTTGGTCCAACCGGTCCATCGGACCAACAGGCCAGTTGGTCCAACCGGTCCATCGGACCAACAGGCCAGTTGGTCCAACCGGTCCATCGGACCAACAGGCCAGTTGGTCCAACCGGTCCATCGGACCAACAGGCCAGTTGGTCCAACCGGTCCATCGGACCAACAGGCCAGTTGGTCCAACCGGTCCATCGGACCAACAGGCCAGTTGGTCCAACCGGTCCATCGGACCAACAGGCCAGTTGGTCCAACCGGTCCATCGGACCAACAGGCCAGTTGGTCCAACCGGTCCATCGGACCAACAGGCCAGTTGGTCCAACCGGTCCATCGGACCAACAGGCCAGTTGGTCCAACCGGTCCATCGGACCAACAGGCCAGTTGGTCCAACCGGTCCATCGGACCAACAGGCCAGTTGGTCCAACCGGTCCATCGGACCAACAGGCCAGTTGGTCCAACCGGTCCATCGGACCAACAGGCCAGTTGGTCCAACCGGTCCATCGGACCAACAGGCCAGTTGGTCCAACCGGTCCATCGGACCAACAGGCCAGTTGGTCCAACCGGTCCATCGGACCAACAGGCCAGTTGGTCCAACCGGTCCATCGGACCAACAGGCCAGTTGGTCCAACCGGTCCATCGGACCAACAGGCCAGTTGGTCCAACCGGTCCATCGGACCAACAGGCCAGTTGGTCCAACCGGTCCATCGGACCAACAGGCCAGTTGGTCCAACCGGTCCATCGGACCAACAGGCCAGTTGGTCCAACCGGTCCATCGGACCAACAGGCCAGTTGGTCCAACCGGTCCATCGGACCAACAGGCCAGTTGGTCCAACCGGTCCATCGGACCAACAGGCCAGTTGGTCCAACCGGTCCATCGGACCAACAGGCCAGTTGGTCCAACCGGTCCATCGGACCAACAGGCCAGTTGGTCCAACCGGTCCATCGGACCAACAGGCCAGTTGGTCCAACCGGTCCATCGGACCAACAGGCCAGTTGGTCCAACCGGTCCATCGGACCAACAGGCCAGTTGGTCCAACCGGTCCATCGGACCAACAGGCCAGTTGGTCCAACCGGTCCATCGGACCAACAGGCCAGTTGGTCCAACCGGTCCATCGGACCAACAGGCCAGTTGGTCCAACCGGTCCATCGGACCAACAGGCCAGTTGGTCCAACCGGTCCATCGGACCAACAGGCCAGTTGGTCCAACCGGTCCATCGGACCAACAGGCCAGTTGGTCCAACCGGTCCATCGGACCAACAGGCCAGTTGGTCCAACCGGTCCATCGGACCAACAGGCCAGTTGGTCCAACCGGTCCATCGGACCAACAGGCCAGTTGGTCCAACCGGTCCATCGGACCAACAGGCCAGTTGGTCCAACCGGTCCATCGGACCAACAGGCCAGTTGGTCCAACCGGTCCATCGGACCAACAGGCCAGTTGGTCCAACCGGTCCATCGGACCAACAGGCCAGTTGGTCCAACCGGTCCATCGGACCAACAGGCCAGTTGGTCCAACCGGTCCATCGGACCAACAGGCCAGTTGGTCCAACCGGTCCATCGGACCAACAGGCCAGTTGGTCCAACCGGTCCATCGGACCAACAGGCCAGTTGGTCCAACCGGTCCATCGGACCAACAGGCCAGTTGGTCCAACCGGTCCATCGGACCAACAGGCCAGTTGGTCCAACCGGTCCATCGGACCAACAGGCCAGTTGGTCCAACCGGTCCATCGGACCAACAGGCCAGTTGGTCCAACCGGTCCATCGGACCAACAGGCCAGTTGGTCCAACCGGTCCATCGGACCAACAGGCCAGTTGGTCCAACCGGTCCATCGGACCAACAGGCCAGTTGGTCCAACCGGTCCATCGGACCAACAGGCCAGTTGGTCCAACCGGTCCATCGGACCAACAGGCCAGTTGGTCCAACCGGTCCATCGGACCAACAGGCCAGTTGGTCCAACCGGTCCATCGGACCAACAGGCCAGTTGGTCCAACCGGTCCATCGGACCAACAGGCCAGTTGGTCCAACCGGTCCATCGGACCAACAGGCCAGTTGGTCCAACCGGTCCATCGGACCAACAGGCCAGTTGGTCCAACCGGTCCATCGGACCAACAGGCCAGTTGGTCCAACCGGTCCATCGGACCAACAGGCCAGTTGGTCCAACCGGTCCATCGGACCAACAGGCCAGTTGGTCCAACCGGTCCATCGGACCAACAGGCCAGTTGGTCCAACCGGTCCATCGGACCAACAGGCCAGTTGGTCCAACCGGTCCATCGGACCAACAGGCCAGTTGGTCCAACCGGTCCATCGGACCAACAGGCCAGTTGGTCCAACCGGTCCATCGGACCAACAGGCCAGTTGGTCCAACCGGTCCATCGGACCAACAGGCCAGTTGGTCCAACCGGTCCATCGGACCAACAGGCCAGTTGGTCCAACCGGTCCATCGGACCAACAGGCCAGTTGGTCCAACCGGTCCATCGGACCAACAGGCCAGTTGGTCCAACCGGTCCATCGGACCAACAGGCCAGTTGGTCCAACCGGTCCATCGGACCAACAGGCCAGTTGGTCCAACCGGTCCATCGGACCAACAGGCCAGTTGGTCCAACCGGTCCATCGGACCAACAGGCCAGTTGGTCCAACCGGTCCATCGGACCAACAGGCCAGTTGGTCCAACCGGTCCATCGGACCAACAGGCCAGTTGGTCCAACCGGTCCATCGGACCAACAGGCCAGTTGGTCCAACCGGTCCATCGGACCAACAGGCCAGTTGGTCCAACCGGTCCATCGGACCAACAGGCCAGTTGGTCCAACCGGTCCATCGGACCAACAGGCCAGTTGGTCCAACCGGTCCATCGGACCAACAGGCCAGTTGGTCCAACCGGTCCATCGGACCAACAGGCCAGTTGGTCCAACCGGTCCATCGGACCAACAGGCCAGTTGGTCCAACCGGTCCATCGGACCAACAGGCCAGTTGGTCCAACCGGTCCATCGGACCAACAGGCCAGTTGGTCCAACCGGTCCATCGGACCAACAGGCCAGTTGGTCCAACCGGTCCATCGGACCAACAGGCCAGTTGGTCCAACCGGTCCATCGGACCAACAGGCCAGTTGGTCCAACCGGTCCATCGGACCAACAGGCCAGTTGGTCCAACCGGTCCATCGGACCAACAGGCCAGTTGGTCCAACCGGTCCATCGGACCAACAGGCCAGTTGGTCCAACCGGTCCATCGGACCAACAGGCCAGTTGGTCCAACCGGTCCATCGGACCAACAGGCCAGTTGGTCCAACCGGTCCATCGGACCAACAGGCCAGTTGGTCCAACCGGTCCATCGGACCAACAGGCCAGTTGGTCCAACCGGTCCATCGGACCAACAGGCCAGTTGGTCCAACCGGTCCATCGGACCAACAGGCCAGTTGGTCCAACCGGTCCATCGGACCAACAGGCCAGTTGGTCCAACCGGTCCATCGGACCAACAGGCCAGTTGGTCCAACCGGTCCATCGGACCAACAGGCCAGTTGGTCCAACCGGTCCATCGGACCAACAGGCCAGTTGGTCCAACCGGTCCATCGGACCAACAGGCCAGTTGGTCCAACCGGTCCATCGGACCAACAGGCCAGTTGGTCCAACCGGTCCATCGGACCAACAGGCCAGTTGGTCCAACCGGTCCATCGGACCAACAGGCCAGTTGGTCCAACCGGTCCATCGGACCAACAGGCCAGTTGGTCCAACCGGTCCATCGGACCAACAGGCCAGTTGGTCCAACCGGTCCATCGGACCAACAGGCCAGTTGGTCCAACCGGTCCATCGGACCAACAGGCCAGTTGGTCCAACCGGTCCATCGGACCAACAGGCCAGTTGGTCCAACCGGTCCATCGGACCAACAGGCCAGTTGGTCCAACCGGTCCATCGGACCAACAGGCCAGTTGGTCCAACCGGTCCATCGGACCAACAGGCCAGTTGGTCCAACCGGTCCATCGGACCAACAGGCCAGTTGGTCCAACCGGTCCATCGGACCAACAGGCCAGTTGGTCCAACCGGTCCATCGGACCAACAGGCCAGTTGGTCCAACCGGTCCATCGGACCAACAGGCCAGTTGGTCCAACCGGTCCATCGGACCAACAGGCCAGTTGGTCCAACCGGTCCATCGGACCAACAGGCCAGTTGGTCCAACCGGTCCATCGGACCAACAGGCCAGTTGGTCCAACCGGTCCATCGGACCAACAGGCCAGTTGGTCCAACCGGTCCATCGGACCAACAGGCCAGTTGGTCCAACCGGTCCATCGGACCAACAGGCCAGTTGGTCCAACCGGTCCATCGGACCAACAGGCCAGTTGGTCCAACCGGTCCATCGGACCAACAGGCCAGTTGGTCCAACCGGTCCATCGGACCAACAGGCCAGTTGGTCCAACCGGTCCATCGGACCAACAGGCCAGTTGGTCCAACCGGTCCATCGGACCAACAGGCCAGTTGGTCCAACCGGTCCATCGGACCAACAGGCCAGTTGGTCCAACCGGTCCATCGGACCAACAGGCCAGTTGGTCCAACCGGTCCATCGGACCAACAGGCCAGTTGGTCCAACCGGTCCATCGGACCAACAGGCCAGTTGGTCCAACCGGTCCATCGGACCAACAGGCCAGTTGGTCCAACCGGTCCATCGGACCAACAGGCCAGTTGGTCCAACCGGTCCATCGGACCAACAGGCCAGTTGGTCCAACCGGTCCATCGGACCAACAGGCCAGTTGGTCCAACCGGTCCATCGGACCAACAGGCCAGTTGGTCCAACCGGTCCATCGGACCAACAGGCCAGTTGGTCCAACCGGTCCATCGGACCAACAGGCCAGTTGGTCCAACCGGTCCATCGGACCAACAGGCCAGTTGGTCCAACCGGTCCATCGGACCAACAGGCCAGTTGGTCCAACCGGTCCATCGGACCAACAGGCCAGTTGGTCCAACCGGTCCATCGGACCAACAGGCCAGTTGGTCCAACCGGTCCATCGGACCAACAGGCCAGTTGGTCCAACCGGTCCATCGGACCAACAGGCCAGTTGGTCCAACCGGTCCATCGGACCAACAGGCCAGTTGGTCCAACCGGTCCATCGGACCAACAGGCCAGTTGGTCCAACCGGTCCATCGGACCAACAGGCCAGTTGGTCCAACCGGTCCATCGGACCAACAGGCCAGTTGGTCCAACCGGTCCATCGGACCAACAGGCCAGTTGGTCCAACCGGTCCATCGGACCAACAGGCCAGTTGGTCCAACCGGTCCATCGGACCAACAGGCCAGTTGGTCCAACCGGTCCATCGGACCAACAGGCCAGTTGGTCCAACCGGTCCATCGGACCAACAGGCCAGTTGGTCCAACCGGTCCATCGGACCAACAGGCCAGTTGGTCCAACCGGTCCATCGGACCAACAGGCCAGTTGGTCCAACCGGTCCATCGGACCAACAGGCCAGTTGGTCCAACCGGTCCATCGGACCAACAGGCCAGTTGGTCCAACCGGTCCATCGGACCAACAGGCCAGTTGGTCCAACCGGTCCATCGGACCAACAGGCCAGTTGGTCCAACCGGTCCATCGGACCAACAGGCCAGTTGGTCCAACCGGTCCATCGGACCAACAGGCCAGTTGGTCCAACCGGTCCATCGGACCAACAGGCCAGTTGGTCCAACCGGTCCATCGGACCAACAGGCCAGTTGGTCCAACCGGTCCATCGGACCAACAGGCCAGTTGGTCCAACCGGTCCATCG